ACAAAAACATACAACAGCGGGGATTCGCTAGTGGTCACCCACCTAACTACTAATCCGCCGGTACACTGCTTGTATATGGCTGAGCGGACGGGAAGCCTAATTTTCAGTGTCCTATGGTCGTATGTGAAGTAAAGACAAGCAATTGATATTATACAAGTAATGCCAATCGTTGCAGTGTCAGCATCGTACAAAACCCCTCCGTTCCAGCATCTAACGTCGCACTTCTCTTTCTGATCATGCTCTACGAGCAGTCTATTCTGGCCATGATCTTTGCATTTCGCTAGTCCTTCTGGTCGTCTATCTTTCTTACGACAATAAACCTTTCGACACAGCTACCTATGGATGTCAATTCCAAAGCCGGCCCAAAACGTAATAGAGCCTGGTCTTGGTGATGCAGCTCTCGCTGTTGACATGAGCGTTGTTACAGTCTTGCTTCAGAGATGCGCGGTCTGCCATACGACCGATAGGCTGTAGGACGAGGCGCATTCTCCAGTCCAAGTCCTGGTAGTTGCTTTAGGGGTTGTCGCGAGGCGGAAACCGCCTCAAATGCGTGTGGCTGATCGGGTGCGCTTTTGACCCACGCAACAGCCGAGAACATTTCCTCTTGTCTACTTACAGGCGGCCAACTTTTCTCTAGATCATCGCCTTGAGGAAACCATCTCACCAGCAACGTTCTATAGCCACAGTTCGATTATTGACTATCGAAATACCAAAATGCCCAGAAACGCCAGTCGAAGAGTCAGAATTTCGACAAGTCTGATAAGCATAGCCTCACCTGGAGCCTGATCATGCACTGCGCCCCTCATGCGGCTGAACTTTTAAGCGACCTTTCTGCAACACAAGAGTAGTCTTGGAAGCAGCTACAGTGCCATTGCACAGAGACGTACCGTCAAAACCTCTGCATCTTGCAAAGATACAACATTGTCGTATTTGTTCAGATGATCAATATCACTTTCCCCCAGGTGCGCGATGACTGGAGTCTCGACGTTGTCAACATCCTAGCCTTTTTGGGCGAGCACAACATCATAGCTTGCAGCCAACAGATCTGCATGTCCTGGACATGTTTCCTTCCACGACTGATTCCGGCGCCTCAAGGTCTCCTCGCTCAACGACCGAAGAAACTCGCATCTGAGGACGAAACAACGGTTACAGGGGTATGGACGGGAAACAACAGGCCGGTTTTGCAGTATTTCGGTCGAATGTTGCACACTGATGGGTCTGACCTATCACCCTTTACAACACGTCTACTCAAGATCCAGTGGGATTCCGCGATTAAAGATAAAAGTCTCAAGAAGAGATACCCCATTCGACCAAGATTGTTTTCGCCGATGAATATGATCGCCGTTCTCAGCTGCGCAATGACTTTCGGGCTAGCAGGATGGGCGCTTGCGCTTGGAGATGCAGTCGCTCTTACTGGTATCCTAGTTATGAGCTTCACGACACCTTTGCTATGTCTCGGAATGTGTTGGACACCACGAATGGTTCCTAGATATCGCCCGACAAGAGGGCTGGTACCACCAGGTACGGTCGTTATCAAGTCCTCGAACGGGTGCTTCACGGTTGTGGAATGCGACGAACAAATCGCCCGTCTTCTCTACTTCCATCCTGAGTACATCGACTACGCTGTCAGCTCCTTCACAGGGCGCGGTTTGAGCGGTACTGTGGGTGGGCTCACCCTTGTGGGCTCCATCGTACTGTTTGGCAATGCAGTATGGGCTCTCAAAGCGGCACTCGCTGTCACATATACAGTCCTAAACCTTTTGTACTGGGTTGCCGCGATTCTCCCGGTCCGCTTGTCATGGCACATTGACCTTACTGTCAGTCAACCAGAGATCATTGAAGATCACTCATTCACACAATGCCTTTGGACGACAATTTATCATACAAAGAAGATTGATTGGGCAAGAGAATATGTGCCTAAGACTGAAGTGTGGAATCAATGGCTGCTTGAAGCAGAGAACAAGGTCCGGCTTGGTGTAGAACTTGAGTCATGGGACGCGTTTGGAGCTCTAAACTCTCTACTAAAAGAGCGACACAAGCCCGAGTAAATTAGCGACGCGACTCGTGTTCTTTCGGTCTGTTCTCGCAAATGTATGAAACCTGATGGACTACCTGCATCCCAGTCAATCAGGCGATGGCTGTGATGACGGATGAAACCTACTGGACGTATGGCGTTGTTTTTTAGGTTAGACAAAAAACACGCGTTCTCTCTTACGGACTTTGTGAATCACAAGTTAATTGTTTAGAACCTCAACTCGAGTGTGAAAGAACTTAGAAATCTTCCTAATATATCTCCGAGTAAACGTGCCAGCACTTGGCATTCTAGATAGACAAAATAGCAAAATGGTATCACCCCTTAACATAAACGCCTTGAAATGCCACATTGAACAGCGTCCCATATCTTTTGTACCACCATCCTCGCCACTCATCTCTACCTCCCACCAACACCCCTCCCCCTACCAGCCGTGTTGTTGTTATTGCTCGGCGTCCTCCACTCATCCTTCAACACCCACCTCCCCCTCTGCGCACTCCCACTAACCTCCAGCGTAGCTATCAACTTGAGCATCTCTTTGAACTCCTCATTCCGCCCCGGCTGCGCACGGCAATAATGATCAAAATGATCGACGAGCATACGACTAGGAACCACACCGCCATGCGTAAGCATGAAGTCGCGAATCATTTCGAGCATACGGCGGCCGCGGAATGTCTGTGGTGTTGTGGGTGCGGTTGGGGTGGAGGCGCGGGATGAGGTGGCGGATGTTGTGCCTGGGTTGAGGGGCGAAGGGCGACCTTGGCGGGCGGCGAGGTTGTTAAGGATGGATGTTGAAGAGGGAGCAGAGCCGCCGCGTCCTCCACCACGACCACCACGACCGCCACGCGTGGATGTCATACCGCGTGGTGCCTCGGGTCGTCCTGCTTCGCCAAATTGACCAGTCCATGTCGGTGTTCCCGCCGGCACGTTTCTGGCTTCTTGCATGCTCTTCTTGAGTTGTTCGGCTGCTAGGGCGGCTTGTCGCTTTGCTTCGCGTTGAATGTAGGCTGGGTCGGCTTGGACTTTTCGTTTGCGACCGCCGGCTGTGGAGTTCATGATTGCGTCGTGTTCGAGGACAGAGTGAACGCCTGTCTTGGCAAAGATGGTTGACATTAGACGGGAGTCTGTAGGAGGTTTATCGTCGGCTGTTGTGCCGTCTTCGTTAGTGGTGGCAGCGTCTTCTGTGTCAGTCTCGGGGGCCTTGAAAGCTTCAGCTCGCGAGATTCCCTTTACTGCGGCGAGGTCCTCGGCTCCTGTAGCATCGGCCGCTGCATCAACAGCAGCAGTCTTGCCATCTTCCTCAAACTTGACTTCCGAACCACGGAACAAGTTGCCTGTCTCAGTTTCGCCCTCGACATTTTCGACACCAAGTGTGAATAGATCATGAAGATCGCTCATCTGGAATGATTGTCGCTGTTTAGGATCTTTCAGCACCTTGTTCGTCAGGAACTGCTTGAAAATCTGACGATGGTAGATCTTCTCTTCAATAGTACCCGCGGACATGAGACGGTATATCTCAACCTCTCGCTTCTGTCCCAGACGCCATGAACGCTCTCGCGCTTGTATATCGGTTGAAGGATTCCAGTCAGGGTCGTATATAATAACGCGGTTGGCGCCTGTCAGGTTGACGCCGAGACCACCGACCTTCGTGGTTAGCAGGAAGACGTGTAAGTTCGGGTCATTGTTGAATTCGTCGACAAGGTTCTGTCGATCCTTGATCGGCGTCTCACCATCCATACGACGCCAGTTGATATCAGGTAGTTGGCTGACAAACTTCTGTAAGATATCTAGCATGATGCGATGCTGAGCAAAGAGGAGTGTCTTGTGTCCGCCCTTCTTCCACAATGACAGTAACTCCTTAACAACCTGCATTTTGCCAGATCTGTTGGGGTTGCCATAGTCGTACCCCAGCTTCTTCGACAATGTCTTATGCTCCGTCAGATCGGGATGATTGCAGATCTTACGCAGGAAGTCGACACCATATAGCATTTGACGCTTGCCGCTGGCAATCGACTTCATGTCTTCTGAAGCCAGGAAACCTTCGTATGCTTGTCGCTGTTGACGCGTCAACTTGCAGAACAGCACCTGCTCCTTCTTCTGTGGCAGATCGGTCGCAACATCGATCTTGAAGCGCTGCAGAAGGTATGGACTGATTGCGTCCTTGAGAGTCTCGGCACACTGTACTGCCGTCTCAAACTCCAAGTTTGAAGCGTTTGCGTATCCACCACGCTTGATCGGAAACTCGAACTGATTGCGGAAGTTTACCAAAGTGCCTAAGCGCATTGGGAACACGAAGTCGAAGAGCGACCAAAGTTCTGTCAGATTGTTCTGCATTGGCGTACCAGAAAGAATGATACGGTTCGGTGTGCGCAACTCCTTGCAGTGGATCGTGATGGCAGTATTTGGGTTCCTAATTTTATGGCCTTCATCTAGGATGGCGCATTCCCAGTCAGTAGGAATCAAGAACTCAGCGTAGGTTTGCAATCCAGAGTAGGTGGTAACAAGCACATGGCCATCCCGTTTAACCTTTTCGAGAATCTTCTTGGCAGCCTTTCCGGCGCCGGTCAAGGTAGTGTCGTAATCGCCATAATTCCGAAGCTCGAGTTCTCGTTCCATGCGGTCTTCTCGACGGGTGTCCAGCATCCCGCTTCCAGAAGTGTGTAGAATAGAGACCCGAAGTGCAGGCCACCAGCGGTGAAACTCGTTGACCCACTGCTTCATGACAGTCGCCGGACACACTACAATGACAGGCTTGACAAGTTTCTTGGAGTAGTGCAGGCCGGCAACAAAGCCGATGGCTTGAATGGTTTTACCCAGACCCATCTCATCGCCGATGATGCCGCCTACATTCTGCGAATATAGTTCCCAGAGCCACTGCACGCCGGTCTTCTGATAGTCGAACAAGGCTGGATAGATATCTCCAGGGATGCGGAATCCACCATCGAATTCAGTATCAGCTTCAGTAGGATGAGGCTGGTAGCATTCTTCTTCGTCTTCGTCGTCCTCATCTGCAATTGTCTCACCCCTGCTCGCCTTTGCTTTTCTCCTTGCAGCTGCGCGGCTCTTGGACCAAGTCTCTATGCGCTTCCGATAAACCCGCTCATTGCCATCGTCAACACCTGCTAGGTCCTCGACAACAGCTTCTTCTGCAGGAGCAGCCTTTGCCTTCTTTGTTTTCTTGCCTTTAGCTTTGCGCTTGCGACCAGTTTTCTCTTCCGCGTATGAGTCGTCTCCATCCATATCGTCCGAACCCTCATCCGACTCGTCCAACGTCGCAAGCTGGCGATCCGACATACCAGGCTCGAAAGCATCGTCGGAGTCAGGATCAGTGAAGCCAGGTGCCGCGCTTGATTCGCGCGAACCGAGAGTATCACTAGCAGGAGTGACCTTCCGTCGCTTCTTGGATCGAGCTGTGGGCTTTGGGCTCGGGGCCTCTGAACTAGAGTCGACATCTTGGAAGCCAGGCTTCATCAGGTTACGATGGGACACTGGTTCCTTCGCAGTGTCCACCACCATGTCCTCTGCCTCAGCATCTAGCATGACCTCGCCTAATGTTCCCGAGTCTGGCTGGTTCTGTGCTAGTTTGGAGAACGGTGTGATCTTTCCTGTGCGAATGAGCCACTCGCCCCGAGTCTCGTTGGGCAACGGCCCTTTTGCGCCTTCTTCCGCTACCTCATCCACTCCAGGCGCCTTGTGGCGATCATTAATACGCTGTTGTATCCCGTCCATTTCTTGATCCAGGTTATCGATCTTGTCCCGATATGCCGCGATCTCGCCACGAAGTTTGGCTTTCTGTGTGTCCAAAGCTGGTAGAGCCAGGCGGTTCTTGAGCTTCTGTATCGCAGCTTCCGCACGTTTTGCTTCAGCCTCGAGCTTTTCTATACGTTTTTTGTCGCGAGCGTCCGCCTGCTCGGTCATCATCTGGTCCGCCTGCCTGCCGATATCACGCTCCAAGTCATCCTGCGCTCGTGTGCCAGTCGTGAGCATCTTAAGTCGTGCCTCCTCGTCAGCATCCGACGGAAGTTCCTCTGCTGACTCGTATGCACCATTGTGCGCGGTGGTACCACCAGGCTCATCATGATTGTCGGTGTTGGTGAGTGTGATCTCGGGCATCGCCGCAGGAGCAGCGTCCTCGGAGGGCGGCGGCATGGTGGCGGATGTGCACAGTCGATGGGAAAGACGAAGGCGCTTCTACTATATCGGTGGCTCGGGAAATGCTTCTAGGATCGTATGCGATGTGCCTCAAACTACGTGGGTGGTAGAAGATGGTGAGAAGTTGCGCCGAAGGCAACAGCGGCGAGTGGAGAAAAGTGAAGGAAAGGTCAAAAGCGCTAGAGCATAGAAGAAACCATCACGAGACAGTAGACAACACCCAACCAGGCTTTAGGGTACAGCGTCGAGAAAAAATTGTCGTGGGCGTCGAAGGCACGGCTGTGTTGAATGGTTTCATCATACTTTCACTCAGAGCGATGATATCACTAGACGCGCTAGTGGACGCGTGCGGACAGCGCCCGCGGCATCGCGCCACCACCACTATGCCCGAGTAGACAGATATCTACAAATGCCTTTCAAGAATGTACACTCGGAGAATTTTTTTTGAGCATTACATTACCTGAGCTACTGAGTAAACTTCTAAATTCCATGAGCCTTACCTGCATTTGCTAATTGGCCGATCATGGTTTTCATCGACGTCATTTACGAGCCGTGTCTATGACTTCCATCTCACCTCTTTTGAGCGCCCTTGCTAACTTCGATCGTCGGATGTTCGTTTATCACGGTTTGGTCAATGGTTCACCAGCTCGATCTCGTTAACCGCGCCTTCGTCTCTTCCGCGTAATGCAAGTGACATTCGAGAAGCTAGCAAGCGCGATCCTGTCAATCTCCGCCTCACCGGCGCCCACGCACCATCTGACTCGCCCTCTTCCATCTCATTGCGACGCGTCGATTCTTGAACGAAAAGTCCGGGATCTGGACCATGGTGCATCCGAAGTCTTCATCCTGACTAGAGTTTTACTCGCCCAACATCACGTCCTATATTCACCACATTCGGGCCGTCCAGGGTTGACATTGATGCGGGTGGCTATCAGCCCTATGCAAGTCATGAGTTGGTGTCTTAACGAATGAAGCCACCTTCATATCGCTTGCGCGCGCTGAATCCTGCGCTCAAGTCCGCCCGCCTCAACATACCAAACGACTCAGATTCATCTCATCGACGAGGCTAACGGCTCCCTTGGCAGTCAACGCCTAAGATGGGTCTCTGCGGGCTCGATCTCTCCACGATGCAATCGCCTGAGGCATGCAGTGAGTGCCTGTAAATCAACGGTTTGCCCCGAACTACCGGAGCAGCCGGTAGTCATAAGGTGGACACGCGTTTCAACCCTATGTCATGAATATGGTGCGCCCGATAACAGATGCGATGCGGCGCGCAGTGTTGTTCCAACATGCCCATCTCGGTCGGAGTATAATACTTCCACTCGAAATAGGAGGTAGTTCATCCGATGGCACGAGTGCACGGAACGTCAACAGAAGAGCTGAGATCAAGGCTAGGCTGCTATCGCTGGGGATTTCCAAATTGGTCACAGGAACAATTGAGTTGGCGGGTTGTCTGAAGCGTGGGTCCAAGCTTCACTTTTCAGATTTATCCATAGATACCCTGTCAACGCCTGTGAACATAGCTGCAGAGGTGAAAGTCGCGTGGTACGAATGCGGGGAAGCGAGAGGTTGGTTTGACGAGCCATGCAGCATCGCTCATACAGGCTGCTGTTGCACCACTCGTAGTGGTCTAATACTGTATGCCGGGATTTCCCCGCGCCGTACTGTTCAGCCAGTTCGGGCAACACGACTCATCCCTTGGCCCAAGTCTGGATAGGCTGCGTCCTGACTCGGATCCTTGTGTGGAGCTCCCTCCCGCTGCATGATTGCGTTAGAGAACGGTATCTGGCGCGCGATTGGCGTTGTGGATATTGCCGTTAGATGTTTGATAGTCAGTGCCTGCGGCGTCTCCTTACACATCATCATGAGCGTCGCCTCCATGGTTTCTTTTTCCTGTCAACGTTCTATACTGTTCACGTAAATGACTTCGGCGTCGGGTGCCACGGGGCCTCCACCAATAGCCCCTCATGCCCGGCTTTCTATCGTGCTGGCTTTTGTGCTTACCTCTATATCGACTATAGTCGTAGCTCTAAGGTGCGCCAGCATTTGCAAGTCTGACCTAACATCGGATTGACAGCTCAGGTTTTATGCTCGACACTTCCATACTGGAAGGCTCATGTCGTCTGACTGGGTTATGCTTTTAGCCATTGTAAGTAGACTTCCTTTTTTTTGAAAGGCTGTTACTGACTAGAACCAGATCGCTACATGGTATGTAGACATCCGCGGAGATCAGATGAACTGAACTGACTCAGATCTTCACACAGGCTATCAGTGGTAGTACATTGCTACATGATCCATTTTCTTGATTACAGTAACGCCATAGTAAGCTACTACAGGCTGTTCGAGAGTACAAATCTGACACTCTACAGTGGGGCGACTGGGAAACATTCAGACCGATAGTAGTCGGCTCCAATCTGTCAATATGGCTATACCGAATCAACTTCATCCTCGATCTCTGTCTTATAAAGACATCGATACTACTATTCTACGACCACATCGCCTCGTCAAATAAGCGCTTCCAATATGCCGTTCGCGGATTACTCGCCATCATAACCTCCGGCGGAATATCCCAGATTATCGCGTCCATCCTTATGTGTACTCCGATCACGGATGCCTTCTCATATGACGTATGGTACCGCGCTTTCGTCCTGTACGACTTCAATGTCAAGTGTTACAACCCGATTCCATTTTGGCTCTTCATCGCGGTTTACAATCTCACCACAGATGTAATCATCTGGTCGTTACCAATAATATTCTTCCTGAATATCCCGACATTGCCGCTGCGACGCCGTCTCGAAATGATCGCCATCTTCTCCGTTGGTATCATAGCCGTTATATCTTCCGCCTTTCGACTCCACACTACCATCCTTTGGCTGTCAGGCATCACACAACAAGGGCTAAGTACACCAGATCTTCTGTTGTGGAGTCAGGTAGAACAGAATGTCGGTATCATCGCGGCCTCCGTACCCTTTCTCCGACCACTCTTTCGCAAAGCGCTAGGCAAGGCGAGGAGCAGAGAACAGCCAAGTCCTGGTCCAGGGTTGCCTTTAGTCGGCAACCCGGCCATATTCAGGACGCCCATCATTCCATCACCTAGCCCGACATTCGACAGGTGTAGTCGGGAGTTCAGGCCACCGAGGAGTACGCTCGAACCTATTGAGCCTATTAAGAGTACATCAACTTGGGGTTCGGCGATCTGGGATGGGTCGCAGGTGAGGCAGGTGCTTCCTACTTGATCTGGCGGTGATTGATTGGTCCACGAACCTTACAAGGAGTTAGCACCGAGCTCTCGAAGAGCTCAGCCGACACAGGGTGATCTAGCTGTGTGTTAGTTTGCAACAGGAAGCTCAGTACTCCCCACAGACAATATCCGCTTGCTCCTCGAGCACCCCTCAGTTACATACCCCACATTTGAGACTCTCTTGCCACTTCGGTATCGACAACGACTATGGGACGATGTCTTCGACTTGTGGACAAACGTTTAGCATTTCAAGCTCACGATCAGACTGGCGTTCTTGCGGTGATGTCATGCGTTCCTCTACTTTCGCCCAAGGCCGCACTCGACGTCCTTCCGACGGAAGTCTTCAAGAACATCGTCGAACACATACCTGGCTCGCAACTTCACGAGCTGTTCGCTTTGCGTGGCACTTGTCGTTTCTATCGCTCCATCGCCACTGGTTTCATTCGACCGGATATGAATGCCAAGTTGAAACATGTTCGAGTATTGATAACGAATGTTTGCTTGATAGCGCTTTTTGAGCACATGTCCGTACCTCAGTGGTGATGCTGCATTGAATGCGTTGCGGTCATCAGCCTTGGGGGACACCACGACTAGGAAGAGCGCCTCCATATTGTGTAATGATCCTTTCGCAGGCTCACCTACGGAGGCCTTGTTCCAACTGTAACCTCCTCTACATGACGAAGTTAGACGGACTTTTCGGTTCGTGGTCGTTGCCAACCTCCTTGAGCCCGTCCGTAGGCCTCCTTGAGCCCTTCTTTATCTTGAACTAACACAGAATTTTTGAGCTTGAAATTCATCACGCTCAGAGGGAACAGTGAAACCAGAGATCAGCGAATGGCCTTTCTCCGACATGTCAGCCTGATGGTGCGTAATGTATACCTGATTAGTATGGACCTGACTTCCAGTTCTTGCGGCTTGGATCTTGGAGTGCTGGTTGAGTTCAAGCTATTACGCTGCGTAGTCCAGAATCTATGAGAGATGAGAAAGTTTGCATACGCATTCATTAAGAAACTTTTGCGAAACCAGGGAGATCCTGGTTGTTTTGACGATTGATGTCTTCCTTGTGTGGCGAGAGGTGGCTTCGCATGAGCAAAATGTCACTGTATAGTCGAGCAACATGGCAGATGTAGACGGGTAGCTGCAATGAACACCTTCAATGACGACCATACACGCGCTCATGTCAAATGCCAACAAGATGGAGGGGGCTGAGCAGAGCGTCGTACTCGTGGTGTTGTGATTCGTCGCGGGCCGACCGCGTCATGCTCTCGCCATTAGCCCTGCCGAAAGCGTCCAGAGCGAACAGTGCGATGCCGCAGTTCCAGAACTTGAGCGGCAGGCGACTTTATCAGCATGCGGTGGGCTCACTGTGACACGATCCACATGTCTTCCATAGGGCAACGCTGGCGTGATTTGGTAGATGCCGGGGACGCTCGAGCCGCTGCCGAAAGAAAGCTCAGCAAAGCGGTGAACGACGAAACGGGCATAGACGGCCAAGGGGCGCGTTGGTGATTGGTTTGGCGCAACTCTCGGCAGGCACTAGTGCATTTCTACCCACGCGTTGGCTTGCCGGAACAGAGTGAACCTTGAGTGGCGAAAGTGGTACCACGTCGATCAGGGCGTCGCCAATCTCCAATTTAATCCGCCTCCTTTGCAGCTACTTTGCTCCCTCTTCACTGCAGCACCTCCACCAATCGCTCCTTCACCTCTCTGCAACCTGCAGTCGTTCCTTCGTTCTACAACTGCCAATTGTTTTTCTTTTGGATACTGAACACAGCCAAAATGTACGCCTCCGAGCCGCCCCGAACGCGCAAAACCCGTGATACTAACAGATGATAGGAACAACGCAACCTCCATCCTGACGCCAATGGCGCAGGACACCTACTGGGGTACCTTTGAGGACATCTCCACGTACAATGTACAGCTCAACTACCTCGAGAAGATGTGGATGGCCTGGTACGCATGGATGGGCAACGACGTCCTGGCGACAGGAATCATGTCCTTTGTCATCCACGAGGCCTTCTACTTCGGACGCTCGCTTCCCTGGATCATCATCGACTGCATACCTTTCTTCAACCGCTACAAGATCCAAGCTGTACGTTTGCCTGGCTTGCCAGCTCCATCGCGACCAAAGCTAATTTGCCGCAGCACAAAGTCCCCTCTGCTTGGGAACAAACACAATGCGCTCTCCTCGTCCTCCTCTCTCACTTTACCGTCGAGCTTCCTCAGATCTGGCTGTTCCATCCCATGTGCCAATACTTCGGTCTCGAGACTTCGGTTCCTTTCCCTAGCATCTACAAGATGGCTTACCAGATCGCCATCTTCTTCGTCTTCGAGGACGCATGGCATTACTGGGCCCACCGTGCCATGCACGCCAGCTCTTTCCTCTACAAGAACATCCACAAGATCCACCACCAATACTCTGCTCCCTTTGGCTTGGCTGCTGAATACGCTTCGCCCATCGAAGTCATGATCCTGGGATTCGGTTCCGTCGGTGTTCCCATCGTCTTCTGCGCCATCACCAAGGATCTCCACATCCTGACCATGTACGTTTGGATCATTTTCCGTCTGTCCCAGGCCATCGACGCACACAGCGGTTACGAGTTCCCATGGAGTCTGCACCACTTCCTGCCCTTCTGGGCCGGCGCCGAGCACCACGACGTTCACCACGAGAAGTTCATTGGTAACTACGCCAGCAGCTTCAGGTGGTGGGACTTTGTCCTTGACACCGAGGCCGGTGCTGAGGCTTCCAAGAAGCGACGAGAGCGCAAGTTGGCCGCTGCCAAGGCCAAGAAGGCCATGTAAATGAGTGCTGGCATGCTCACAAGTTTCGGAGTCTTGTCGGTTTTAGCCGCATATACTCGCCGGTGGGAAGATGGTAGAACCACTCCCGACCGACTTACCCACACCTGCTTCATGCGGGGCTGGTATGAGACATGGCGTTTGGGTTATAAGAAAACTGCGGCCATGAATGATGGCTGCGGTAATAGACAGTAAAGACCCTTGGTAATGGGCGGCAGAGCGGTGTTTGTGTGAATAGGAGCTGGGTCATTATAGAATATCTACCTAATACTATTACGGTCGCTACGTTGAATGTTATCATTATCTCATCACTTACCAATTCGATCTTCTCAGTTGAACACGCATGTAAACGCACGAACACGCTTATTGAGGATAGCATGAAGTGGAAAAAGTGTCTCAGGTAAACGGTGAACGAGCTGCGAGGCCGCCCCTGGTGATAGCGCGGAAGGCGTCTTGGCGCGGTGAGGACTGGCGCGTCTACATTCCGAGCTTCATCAACTTTCTTTGACCCGCCCAAATCGCGCAATCACCACCACCACATCAAATCGACGGCGCGCGAAAACACGGAATCATGAGCTCCGGGCGCCCTGTTGCAGGTGTCCACCAGGACTATATTGCGAAAATCCGATATTCGAATGCGCTACCTCCTCCACCATGTCCACCAAAGCTGCTGGACATTCCCAACACTGGCCTTTCGAGCGGCCAGTACACATCAGCTGGTTTTGCGTCGAGACTGGCGCGGGAACAGTCGCTGAACATTGAGGCTGATGCTGAGCTGGGAATGCCCATCGACTTGGTGGGTATCCCCAAGGTATTCGATGGAGACGAGTCTGGTAAGAACGAACCCACGGCGCAACCGCCTCACAGCGACTAACGCGTCGAACAGCCATCCAGGCGATGCCTCACCCACCGCCGCTCAGCACAGCAGACAGGGCGCTGATGCGACCACCGAACCAGCTTGGCAAGACGCAGACCAATGCCCAGGGCGCGACCTTCCTGCGACGAACAGAATACGTCACATCAAGCACAACCGGCGGCTCCAAATTCGAGTCCAGCAACTCGTCCAACACGATGCGCCTACGGAGGAAGCGAAAGCAAGTAGAGACCTCACTAGACGATCCCACAAACATCGCCCGACACATCTTGAAGAGCTTCAACATCGCCTACCCGGCCGACGCCTACAATGGCCAAGACAGCGCCGACAACCTCAGAGCCGCAGAATCAACGCCCGAAGAGCGCCTAGCATGGAACAAGCCCAAGCACCCCAGAAACCCCAATCTGACCTTGGTCGACTCCTACCCCCTTCTGCCGGACTGGGACGCCATGCCCGACACGGGTGGCTACATGGTCTTCAAGTTCACGGCACCGCCCATCAACAACCCGCTCGATCCCTCTTACGACCCGCGTCTCGACGTCGCCCTCCTGCGCCCTGCCGGTCAAACGATCCAAGACCAAGAAAAGTACATGGAAGACCGCGAAGCGCACCGCTTGGATCCCACCGTCCCACCCCCAATCCCCCGCTGGCAATTCGAATACTTCCTCCCCGCAGACCGCAGCAAGGTCCGGGGCATCAAACGCAACTTCACCACGCACGACCCCAACAACGAAGCCGACATTGACTTTGACATTGCCGAAGACGATGAGGGACAACCGCGCAAATGCTTCAAGTACGATAACGTGCGTACGTACGAAACGAGCCAGCAGGTTGGCGACCCGTCGGATACTTATGGCGATGTTGTCGCGCTGGCGCTGCATGATCCTGAGAAACATGAGGCTGAGAGGCTGAGGGATACCAAGATGCAGCGTGCGGCGTACTTTTATCCCATCACGCAGAGGACGTCGTTGAGGCCGAGACGGCCGGGTAGGATCGATATGACCGAGGAGCAGCCCAAGGTTGATATTATTGAGGCGGCGGGTAAGGAGCCTGAGGGCGAGGCGAGGAGGGAGGGGTATAGGAAGAGGGCAGAGGGTATTGAGTAGTCTGGAGGTAGATGATTAGGGTAGGGGTGGAAGGAAGGAAGGGGTGAGTGCTCTCTCATCGTTGAAGTTTCTAAGAGTCGAGATTGAACCCGTTTGGCATTGTCATCAGCGAGGCGTTTAGTGAGGCTACAGAGGATGTAAGAATAGGATATCGTGGCATATAAGGGAATTCACTCAAAAAAGATATCTGCTGATTGGTATTCTTTCGATTCGTGGTAGAAAATTGCGCGACAAGTCTATCCTAGGGAAGAGGACACTTAGAGCAACGAAAGCGACTACCTATAACTCCTGTACACGACAACAACTTCTCCTCTGGAATTTGGTCACAATCAGCTCAGCCTTCTCACGGTCCGAAAGCTCTTTAGTAGTGTACTTCTTCTTTTGAGCTCCAAGTGGGGTCTCTAGCTGTAGTAGGATTATGTTGTATCTATGTTGCAGGAAGAACGGGGTCACTCCTGTCGACTTTGCGTCTCTTCCGTTGATGATCCCACACATGCGCCATAATTCACTCCTCTGATAGTCTTTCCAATAATTTCCACATTTCTCAAATCAACCAATCACAAGTCGGAGTGCCGGAGTGGTTAACGGGTGTGACTCGAAAGAGCAAAGCTCTCATAGATATCACATGCTTTCGGGCGCGCAGGGTAAGCATTATTCTTATAGTCAGTCATGACCTCCACTAACGGCTGATAGTTCGAGTCCTGTCTCCGACGTCCTTTTTTTTTCTCTTTTCCTCCCCTGGCATACCCCGCCCGAATACCCAATGGGAGGTTTCAAATAGGTCGTTAAACAACAATCAATCCACACTTCTCAACCATGTACATGCTCTG